CAGAACTGACTTGACAGCACTTAACAAGTGTGTGTGATGTTGTTAAGTGTCACCAGGAAAAAGTTCAAAAATGGAGAGAAGAAGAAGGGCTAAAGTGGTGGAATAAGGAAAACTGAAAGGAGAAGGGAGCTTTCTTGAGGTGGTTGGAGGAAGATTTGAAGAGACCTAATAGAAGACCAGAACCTGAAGAGGACTGAGGGAGAAATAAAGAGAGGAACAATAGGAGTGTGCTTTGGTTTTTCCTCTCTTGCCCAGTGATGGTAAGTCTGAAATCCCTGATGCCAGCAGGGCTTTGGACTGTTCTAGGGACTGAAGGGGGCAGACACACACGGAAGGCCACACAGGTTCACAGGGGCTGGACTTTGTCAGGCCTGGAGACTTAGGTGACAAGCCTGGGATTTATTGCAGGTGCAACTGAGAGCCACTGGAATAGTGAGTTAATATTTACTCAGTCTTTGTTATAGCTGGTATCTTCATTTTGGTTGTTTAACTTTGGACAAGTCCTTTTCCCTCTCTCCAAGCTGATTTTATTGTGTGCTCCCAGTGTCTCCTTAGACCCTACTGAGGACTTTATACATCTAATCTGTAAGCTCACATTTCTTGGCTTTCCTCTGGTTGTGGACCAGTTCCTTTCCATTGTTTCAGATGTGGCCTTGGGGGTGGGCAACCAGCAGAGGGTGCAATTGAGGAGCTAGTGGGATCTGCAGCTACAGAAGCCTTTGGGTCCTGGAAGGAGCTCTGAAGCCAAGCAACTAGACAGAGGCTACCCTTCCTTTGCAGGTGAAAAGGAGGAATCCTCTCGCCTAAACCTCCTCACACTTAACAACAGCAATCTGGGTTCAAGCTCAGTTCAGGATACGTTCTCATCCCCCCTGGGGAACTGAGTAAAGGTAGCCATTTCACGTTCATTCTCTTGACCTAAGTGTCCTTAGTTCTGAAGTGAGGTGTGTGGTGGTATGGAGGCCCTGTTGGATCTCTTCCAGATCTAAACTTCACAGATTGGAGCAGGCCTGCATTCAGGATGAATTTGACGAAAGTGAAGAATAATTATTGTGAATAAACTATTTTAGAATGCCAAATTCACAGCAATTGTCTCTCGCCCCCAGGCCTCCCCACCACACACACACGTTTTTCACAACCAGGGTCAATTTCATCAGGTCTGGAGGCTTCAGTCACAAACCTGGATTTTAATCTGCATGCAATGCGAAGACAATAGTGTGAAGAAAAGTTTCTTGGTTGTTTTGTTCCTATAAGGCTCACTCCAGGTGAGAAGGGGCCTCAGCAGTGAA